GTCACCACCTATTTTTTTTCCACCTATACATATTTGAACTGCATCATTTATTCACAGACTTCAAAAAATAATAGGTTAGATCATGTGGTCTGACCTAATTATTTCAAGTACTGAATTTCACCGAATTATCTTGCACTGAGCTCAACAGCAGTCTTGGATAAAGCACATTTGTTCATGCCATGAAGAGCTGAGAGTCCACCGGCACAGCTTCATTATGAGGTTTGTTCAGCTCACCTTTTAATGGCCTCAACATGCAGCAGATGTAGCATAAAGCAAATTACAAAGGACTGATTACTGCCTGCTCCCACCCCTGGATGTTCCTATGGAATACTTACAGTGTGTTCCACATACTCTTTTCCTGCCTGTATCACATCCAAGGCCCTCTTCTTTTGCTCTTGATCTAGCAGCAACTTGTATGCTTTGTCTACAGCTAATAAAAAGGATCAACATTAATATTATCAGCAGTTGCAGTCACAAGGCATCACAGGATGGCTGCTTGTTGATCGTACAAATTATGATTCCTAGAATTTTGGAGGGGGTGTTTGCTTGGGTTTTTTTGGGTTGTGTTTTTTAAAAATACATCTAAATACATTTAAATACAACTCATATCTTAATTAATCAAATGAGAGTTGGGGTACAGTGGTGGCAGAGACTGCAAGACACCTTTTGAAGTCAGCAGGGTCAAAGTGTCAGTCCTATCAAGTGATTTAGTTATACGCCATGAGGCAAGTTTAAGGTGCACAACACGTCACCATAATGCAAAGCACACACCTAAAACCATGACATTCCTTCTGTCATAGGGTCTCTCAATCAAATCTCATGCACAGATTAGAGTGTTTCTTGAATAACCTGAACAGCTGCGGCTGGGTCCAGGGAGGTGTAAACACACCATCTAGTGACAGCGCTGGGGAAATGTCACCCCCTCGTGCACTGGGGCCTCCACTCCAACCAACCCCTAAACCAGCTACAAAGAACGAGCAGTGCAACTACTGCCATACACCAGCCCTGGGAAAGTGAGAGCAGTACCTTCAAATGCCTTCTGGGCTCTATCTGCATCGTCTTGGTTTTTGTCTGGATGCACCAAAATCGACAACTGCAAGAGAAAGAAAGGACCTTGCTGTCAATATCTTCATAAAAGATTAGTATTTCAAAGAGATTTTTGTGAGAGGATGGAAACAGTTTGGATAGAAGGAATTACAGATCATATTCCTTTGTATATGGACAAAGGACCTGAAAACCTGTAGAAGCATGCACGAGTAAAAGCTTATAAATCAAATATAATCACAGAATCACTGAATTGTGTCAGTTGAAGGGACCTCTAGAGATCATCTAGTCTAACCCCCCTGCTAAACCAGGATCCCCTGGAGCACAGGGCTTCATCCAGGTGGGTTCTGAAAATCTCCAGAGATGGAGACTCCACAGCCCCCCTGGGCAGCCTGTCCAAGGGCCCTGTCACCCTCACTGTAAAGAAGTTTTTCCTCATATATCAATGGCACTTCCCATGTTCCAGCTTGTGCCCATTGCCCCTTGTCCTGTCACTGGGAACTACTGAACAGAGTCTGGCTCCATCCTCCTTGCACCCACCCTTTAGATACCTACAGGCACTACTAAGGTCTCCCCTCAGCCTTCTCCTCTCCAGGCTAAAGAGTCCCAGCTCTCTCAGCCTTTCCTCATCAGGGACATGCTCCAACCCTTGTACTAAACAGGCTGCTGAAGAAACACTGCAGTGTGGGATGTGCAGAATAAAATAAACACCCTCCAGCTGCAGTGCCTGTTGCTGATATGAACACCTACAAAGATCATCTTCAAACAGTTTGCCTTTAACCCAACAATGTCTCCCAAGAATCCAGCATCCTCAAGCCTGTTCCAACATCCAAATATATAAAGAATGGGAAAGGTTTTCCTTAGGCTCCTTCACTGAAAGCTACTAAAACTCCTTCCTGTAGTCTCTGTTAAGGACAGACAGGGCAATCTCATTTGGGCTGCAAAGCACCTGTCCCCCAGCTTCCTCTTTCAGAGAATAAGAAAGTTCTTTCAAACTTTCCCAATATGGATTTTTTTTTTTTCCTGTTGCTCTATGGACTCTCTAGTTTACCTGGACCTTTCCTACTGTCATGTTCAAAACCAGTCACAGTATGGCAACTGAGATTGCATCAGTGCTGAGGAATGCAAAATAATAACTTCCTGAACTTTAGAGATGGCACTTTTCTAGTTCACAGGCAAAAAGTTTGTCTCTGGTCCTAAAGAGCAGCATGCTGCTGGTTTACTCTGCAATGTGCAACACTCGGGGTCTTTTTCCTTTTGTTGGCTGTTCCACATTCTGTATTTAAGTGTTTTGATTTATCCAATACACAATTCCATGCACTTTTTTCACTTCATCACACTGACTTCAAAACTTTTTCCTGTGGTATTTTACCAGCCAAGCTCAGACAGCCCCAGTTTGTTGATTTGCAGAGCTCTCAGCAACACACTGGAAGGCTGGCCTCCCACTTTCCACACACAGAGACAGTCCATAATCCATCACCAACTTGGCAGGCGTGTTCCTCTGTCAGCCAGCACAGCTTCCTGGCTGAAGTTTGTGATGTTTACACCACAAACTCAGCTGGGACACTACTAATACTGTTTCTTTGCTGCACTGATTAAAACTCAACCTCCTCCTGCAGATCTGTCTGCCCATGCAGGGGGGTCGGAACCATATCATCTTTAAGGTCCCTTACAACTCTAACCATTCTGTGGTTCTAATTTCCTTCCAGAGGCTCCAAGTGCAAAAGCCAAATACCTGCCGGAATCTTTTCTTTATCTCTTCATCTGTGGCTTCAGGATCCATCTGCAGGACCTATAAGAGACCATGAGAGCAGAGCAAGTTCAATGATACTCCCCAAGTTTCAGGTTCCTGGCAACGAGTACTAAACACTTGGTTCACTGGCACACAGACACACCACCAGGAAGCTCCCCCCATCAGGGAGCTGCTTCAGGACATGGATTTGCATCTAATAAACCAGAAACTTTTTAAGGGACAACATGTTTGGGGCATTCTACTTTAATAAATGTCCCTTCCACATTCAAGTCTCATGTAGACAACTGCCATCCCTCAATAGGCACAATTTGTCTAAACCTTCAACCACTCCTGTAGCAATGCTTAGTTTGGCAGGAATGGAAGCTCATAGTGGCTTCGAGACACTGTTAGATCATTCATAAGTGAGGACTTTGGTCAGAAAACATAAGATTTCGTAATAATGTATCCATTTTATTGTTTTGAAAGAAGACGAGAATTTTACTGTTTGGTTTCCATGAACGAGCCACTTATCTATGTTCTGATCTTCAGGGATGTGTCAGAGCTTATGAGCTATTTTGTGAACTCATCTCCTGAACAGAAGTCCTAAGTAACAAGGGAGCCTATTCAATGCAGATGCATGCTGATCTGACACCAAGAATTGCAAATGAAACCCACTCTCTCATACGAAAGCTACAATCTGCTTCAAAATGGTTTTCTTAATTTACTTGTCAGGTTATTAGTACTGAACAATGTGAGTCTGTCACCTAATCTGGATGACCAGCCCTAAATTGAGACTACAAAAAGCACCTAGGGCTTTAAAAAGGCAGACGAAGATGCTATCAGGAAGAAACAAACACAGGAAAAGCCAGAACCAGAGGAACATCATATTGCTTTATTTACTTCTTCAGACTTTTCTACTTTTTAAGACTTTATAACTGACTGCAACTGCAATCAAACTATACAATGTGCAAGGGAACTACCCACCTCCCAGTGCCTCCTCAGACTGCTCCCTAGTGTGAGCAGTGAAGATCCCTTCTTCTCATTCCATGCCCTATGTAGGTCCAGTGGGATGAACATCCAAAAGAAAAGGCACAACTAGAAATGCCAAGTCAAGAGTGCTCAGAACAGAACCTGTAAAGTGTGTCACTTGTAGCTGTGACATTCTCATTCAGAGATTACCTAACATTCATCTGCCAAGTCTTCCATTAGGGAAACATGTCAAAATAATACAGTTTTCACCTGCCATAAACCAGTGAAAAAGTAAGCAAGTACATATACACCACCCTTCTGTTTCTGTAAACCTTCTGAGTGGTAATCTAAATCTAGAGAATTGGTTTCATATGCTTGGTCTTTTTTACTGAAATATATACCCAGTAAATCTGGGAGTTGGTCTACCAAGACAGAAGGGTGTATAAAATGTTCAAACTAACCTCAAAAGGGTTCAAGTTGAAATAGGAAGATCCAGGTCTGGTCAGCCTGTCAATTTGATTTTTTGATGTTAAAACAGAGTCTCGTTTTTCGATTTGTTTTACCTGAAGAACAGGAGAAACCCATATTAGCTGATCATCACAATAGTCACACCATCCCATGTGGTTACTACACCAGCCACCATCATCATCTGGCACTACAACTCACAACACCTCTTGCTCATCCCAAGTCTGTCATTACTTTACTCAAACACTAGCAGGGCACATTTTTTAGCCTTTTCTACAGCATGACAGTATTTTTAATGTTTCATTAGAAAAAAAAACTCCCAGAAAGTACTTCTGTCTCTCTCTCCTATTGCTTGTTCAACAGCTGTGGCTTTTCCTTTTGCCCCTACACCAGCACCACCATAGTGGCTCCTTGGGATTAACCCACTGTTGGCAGGTCAGCCCAATAAACACATTAAGTGATACCAGTGTAAGCACATAAGTCAATTTTATTCTGACGACAGGTTATTTAGTTCAGCTCAGTCTACTTTTTAGCATTACTTAGCAGTTCTTAGCAGTGCTAAGTCAAACCAAACAATGCATTTACATTCAGCGTTCACCTTTATTTAAAGAAACAACCACCCACTAAACTCGCACTACCCTTCTGTGGTATTTACTCAGGTAAATACACCCAGTACCGGGAGACTCGCCCCGGCTGAGGGATCCCGGCCCCTCACCCTTCCCAAAGGCAGTTTCTTCACAAGAAGGCCGGTCAGGGGCGCGCTGCCCAGGGCTCTGCTCAGAGGCCGCGGATGGCACAGCGCCCATCGGGCTTATCCGAGGGAAACGGGTCAGAACGCTCCGCTCCCCCCGCAGCCACAACGGGGCTTC